ACGTCCAAATCTCTGTTCCCATCCCTATCCCTTTCCCCATCTCCATCTGCATCCACATCCGCGACCCCATCCCTGTCTGCATCCCTGTTCCTATCCACACCTACATCCCCATTTCTGTTCCCATCCCCATCCTTACCCCTGCCTCCATCTGCATCCATATCTGCATCCCTGTTCCTAACTGCATTCCCATTCCAGTCCCCATCCCTATCCCTGTCCCTGTCACCATCCCAATACCCACCCCCAACTCTACCCCTATCCCTGCCTCCATCCATATCCACGATCCCATTTCCATCTCCCCAGCAGCAGCACCAGCACGGCCCTCGGGGCCACCCCCAGGCCCATTGCATGGCACAGGGCTGGGAGGCAGCCGGCTGTGACCAGGGCATGTGGCTGCTCCCAGCTCTGTGCCATGCAGTGGGTGGCCCCAAGGGCAGTGCTGGTGCTGCTGCCAGGGAGAGCTGCCTGCAGCAGGGGTGCTGGCAGGGCCCGGCAGAGAGGAGCAGTGGACGTGCCGCTTGGAGCCATCAAACTGATGCCTAAGCAGTTTTGCCCATCTCCTAAGGTCGGTGTTCCGTGTTGATCAGCAACCACAAACCAGTCAAGGATATTTTAGGATATTTGTTAGGAAAATACAAGTAACTAACAGTTCGAGGATAAACCGCAGAGTGCCATGGCAACCTGCTCATGGAAATGCTAATAACTGGGACAGAAGGTGGGTGATTAACCTATCAAAAGCAGAACCCTAACATTAAGCCGGGTGCGGATCTATGCAGAAAAAAATGAAGTGTTCCCACTGTGAACATGCACAAAAGCAGTGTGGCATTATCAGCCGCAGCCCTTGCAGGGGTTCTCTGGGCAGGGGTAGTGGAGCATGGCCCCCGCTGCTGCCCCATTGGCCCCTGCTGCAGCTCAGAGCAGCAGTGGGGCAGGGGGTGATGGTGCTGCTCCCTGTCCCTTTGTTGGAGCAGAGCTGTGGTGTTTGGCTTGGCTTTGTAACAGGAGTTATAAATAAGACTGTCTCACCAAGAGTGCGTGACTCACGGTCCCCACCACAGGGATAACCTCTGCTAGGAAACCTGATCCGAGGGCCAAACTCCTGCATGAAACAATCAAAGACATTGCCTCATTAATGTATTTAATGCAGATGGTGAACAGAAGAGCCTTTAACCCCACTTGGGCAAGGGTGGGCTGCTGGGGAAGGTGCCTGTGCCCCTTTGGAGCCTATTCCTGTGCCATCCATGACCTCTGGCTCCCAACAGCCCAGCCCTTGCCCTGCTCCAGGGCCTGGTGGTTTCCCTTGGATGGCAATGGGGACCTGTGGCAGTGGCTGACGTGGCCTTGAGCAGCTCCAGCCTCAGTGTTTTACCTCTTGCTGCTCTCCACGGGGGCAGCTCGTGAGTGCTGGTGTGAGGTGGGATGGGACGGTGTGCTGAGGCATCACCCCTCACACAGGAGGCTGTGTCAGCCCCATGCACCACCATGCTCTGCCCATGGTGCCTGGGACCGCATCCTCCTGCCATGCTGCCATCCCTGAGACACCAGCTGGTCCCATGGGGAGAGGGATGCCCTGTGCCCCAGTGCCCCAGCCTGCAGGACCTGCTTTATTCTGGGGTAGGGGATGGCGGGGCGACAGCTGGCTGGGGGATTTGCCGAGGGCATTATTTAATGCTGCGGGTAAATGGAGAGACAGCAGCTAATTCTGGAGCCCATAATCCTCTTCCTCCCCTGGGGTGGCAGTGTGCCAGTCTGACAGCCTCCGGCGGGCCCTGGGGATGAGCCCCCGGCAGGTCCCTGGCGTGCTGCGTGCTGCAGTGACTCCTGGACCATGGGTGATGTGCAGAAGGTAAGCGGGGCCCGGTGACATCCCGCCTGCGCCAGGGCATCAGCTCCCAGTGTCAGCGCTGGGCAGGCTGACAGAGCAGGACTGAGGCTTTACGATGGGCAGCGTCCACAGCTTGTCCAGGAGCCGACAGGGCTCTCAGGGCCAGGGACAGCCACCATGGGGGGACCAGGGTTGGGTGGATCTGCCATGGGGTCACCCCAACCTCAGACAACACGGGAGCAAAGCCCTGGTGCTCACTCAGACACAGAGTACCATGGTGAACAGCGTGCCCAGCTTCCCCCTCTGAAATGGGGGTGCTGTGCAGTGACCTGGCACCCTGCAGGACTCACCCAGCACCCCACGCCCCCAGGGGCTGCTCTCTGTCATCCAGAGGCTGAAAGGATCCCCGGAGCAGGAGCTCCGCATCGTCCTGCTGGGGCTGGACAACGCGGGGAAGACCACGCTGCTGAAGCGCCTGGCGTCCGAAGAGGTCAGCACCATCACACCCACCCAGGTAGGTGCTGCTGGGGGCCAGCGGGAGGGTGGCAGGTCCTGCTCTCCCCTGCCAGATGCCAGAGTTTGCTCCTGTTCCTGTGCAGGGCTTCAACATAAAGAGTGTCCATTCACATGGCCTCAAGCTAAATGTCTGGGATATTGGGGGGCAGCGCTCCATCCGCTCTTACTGGAGGAAGTATCTGGGCAGCACAGACCTGCTGGTGAGTGGGGTGGCCATCTGCAGCCCCCCCAGCCCCATGCATGGAGAGCCATGCCCTCTGCACGGGGCCCTTACAGCCACTGACTGTCCTGTTTGTCCCCATGGCAGATTTATGTCATTGACAGTGCAGACCAGAAGCGTTTTGAGGAGACAGGACAGGTATGAGGGGTCTGCTTGGGAGGCAATTGGGGGGGCTCCTGGGGCTCAGGGCCTTCTGGCACTAGCTCTTTGAGGACTGGAGTGGGAGTGAGGCTGCTTTGTGCCATGTCTCGGCACTGCTGTGGGGGCCAAGCTATCCTCAGAGCTGTGTGGGACGGGCTCGTGATCAGTCTCAGCATGCAGAGCCAGCCCACTCTGTGGCACATCCATGACCAGCAGCTCCCCCTGATCCAGGCATGATGCCCGAGGGGTACCTGGCATGGGGGTGACTCAGCCCCTCAGTCCCCAGCCCTGCTCCCACCTCCCCAGCACCAGGTGAGCCATTTGACCAAATGAAGGTTTAGAAGTAGCAGAATCCAAGTTACAAACCCTGGGAATGAAGCTGAAGAGGGGAAGGTGGGACTCCAAGTGCCAGCCTTGGCTGTACCAGCACCAGACGGCGGCGTGGGTGTGCCAGGCAGCACAGGGCTGAGAGCAGCTCCTCTAGCTGCCCTTTGCCCAAGGCTCTGGGTGCTGGTAGTGCTTCAGACCCCAGGCAGTACTGCATGCGGCTCCAGGCTCTCTGCAGGGCAGATGGAGCTTCCTCTCCTTTGGGATGTCTGGACCTCACCGCTTCTTTGGCTGCAATAAGAGCACCAGAGAGAGGGGAGTGAGGCCCTCTGGGGGCATCCTGCCCTGGGCAGCTCAGGCCAGCAGCCCAGCAGCTCTATGGAGGAGGGCAGCAGCCCTGGGAGATGGCTCTCTCTTGGCAGGAGCTGGCAGAGCTCACCGAGGAGGAGGCCCTCACGGGGGTCCCGCTGCTGGTGTTCGCCAACAAGCAGGACCTCGTGAGTGCTGCACCCGCAGCTGAGATCGCAGAAGGGCTGAGCCTCCACACCTACCGGGACAGGGAATGGCAGATCCAGGCCTGCTCAGCCTTGTCTGGGGAAGGAGTGCAGGTAGAGATGGGGGCCTGCAGGCTCTGCAGAGCTGGGAGAGAACCCCAGGACCTGCCACGCTCTCGGGGCTTTGCTCACACATCTCTCTTCCCTCCAGGATGGGATGAACTGGATTTCCAGCCAGATCATGAATAGGAAGAAGTGAGAGCTGCAAGTGCCAGAAGGGACCGAGCTGCAGGTCCCTAAGCCACGGCCAACCCCCCTCATCCTTAGACTCCCCCAGAGGCTTGGCAGGGCCCTGAGCCTCAGACCGCCATGCTCAGGGGTGCTTCCCCCCCAGACTTTCACTGATCATCTGGCTTCCCCCAGCTCATAACCCCTGACCCTCCTGCAGCCCTTGTGCTGTTGCAGGGAAGAACATGCCCCACCGCCCACCTCCAGAACAAGAACCTGCTCAGGACATGCCCATCCACGCTGCTGGCACCCTCTGCAGAGGCTGCTGCGGCACACACACTGCACAGAGCACACTGGGCACCCCATGACAGCACCAGCTACATACTGATATGGCACCTACAGCCAACCGAATAGCGGGTATTCCGCTCTGTTCCCATAGGATGTGACTGGTGCTGCCCCAGCCATGGCAGCTGGCTCGGGAAGGCGGAGTTCAGATCCTTTCACTGGCCAGAGGAGCTCCCACATGTGCACAGGAGCTGGCACAAGGAACAGGTGGGACTTGGCTGGGCAGTCCCCAGTGGAGGGGTCACACTGCCTGCTCACAGCTCAGTTGCAGCTGAGGGGGCTGCTCTGCAGGAGCCCTGGGAAGTGCATTGTCCTCAATGCACCCGAGATGAGCCTTCTGCACCCGGCTGAACATGCTCCTCCCGAGGGCTGGAATGTGCACCTCCGGCCGCCAGAGCCCCACACCTCTGTGCATGGGTGGGAGACAAACCACAGCCGAGTGGGAGCTTCTGCTGCAGGCAGGCGGCCCCGCGGCCCTCAATAAAGCTTTCTGTGACCTCCACACGGCCTCGGCCGCTCCTTTCTGCAGCGCCGGAACAGCGCTGCCCGGCCCCACTGCTCTGCGGCCGGTGAGGACTGCGAGGCCCCGGGCCAAAACCCGTCCCTAGTTGCCAACGCCATCTTGCATGCCGTTGCCATGGCGACAGGTTGCCGGATCGGGTCACGTGCACCGCTGGCTACACGTGAAGGGCACGAGGAGGGAGCGCGGACTACAACTCCCAGCACACCGCGCGCTCTGTGCCCCTGCTGGCCTAAAGCGCGGCGGGAGCGGCACGCGACCGGCCACGCCCTCTTCCCTGCCATAGGTGGGCAGCAGTGACGTCTGCCCGCGGAGGCGGGAACGCGGTGGTGTAGGGGCTTCTCATTGGTGGAGAGGCCTGCCGCTCCTGGGCGGGGCCGGGGGCGCGGCGGCGGGCGGTGCCCCCGAAGGCGGAAGCGGAGCATGGCGGCCGGTGCGGGCGAGCTGCTGGCGGCCGCGGCGCTGCTGCTGTCGGTGGTCGGGCCGCCCCCGGTGCCCGCCGAGCTCACGGATGGCAACAGCGAGCACCTGAAGCGGGAGCACTCGCTGATGAAGCCGTATCAGGGTGAGCGCGGGGCCGCGCGGACGGGACGGACGCCCCGCGGTGGCGCGGGCTGAGCCACGCTCTCTCCGCCCCTTTGCAGGCGCGGGCTCCGCCGCGATGCCGCTGTGGGACTTCCAGGGCAGCACCATGGTCACCAGCCAGTACGTCCGTCTGACGCCCGACGAGCGCAGCCGGGAGGGCTCCATCTGGAATCGCGTGGTGAGAGCCCAGGGGGAGCCCTAGGGGGGCGGGGGCGGCCCCAGCGCCTCTCCTGTTCCGGCTCTGAGGCTGCTGGGTGGTCTCTCCGCACAGCCCTGCTTCCTTAAGGACTGGGAGCTCCACGTCCACTTCAAGATCCATGGAGCCGGCAAGAAGAACCTGCACGGGGATGGCCTGGCGCTGTGGTACACGCAGGAGCGCCTGGTGCCAGGTATGGCCCACAGTCGGGGCTGCCCACCGGGATGAAGCCAGGTCAGCTCTCACGTGTATGCTGTCCCAGAGGGTTTCCCACCAGGGAGGGTGTTTGAGCTCCCCTCTGTCTGGTCTCATAAGATTGGATGGGGTGTTCTGCATCTTCAGACCCTTGGTCATCAGCCTGGCAATAAAGAGCTAATACAGCTCTTTTCAGTAGAAAAGTCTGAGTAGAAACTGTCTGGGAACCTTTTGTTTCCAATGTTCTGCCCTGCTCTAGGTCCTGTCTTTGGCAGCAAGGACAACTTTCACGGACTGGCTATTTTCCTTGATACCTATCCCAATGATGAAGCAACAGAGGTGAGTCAATCAGTGCCAAGGAGGCTGTTTCCTCAGCGGCTTTGTGCTCCAAGTACTTCCTGACCAGAGCAAGGAAGAGCCTCTCCTTACATGAGTGGGCTGCTCTTCTTATCATGGGAGCTGGAAGAAGGAAGAGTTTATACATGGAAATAAGAAGGTCCTTGCTCCATCTTCTGCTGGTTTTGACTACAGATGTTTCCAAAGCTTTTCCTCCTCCTCATGAGAGCGTGGCACAGGGCTGGTGTGAACTATGCACCAGCTACTAAGTAAAGTTAGAGGAATCAGCCCAAGAGTATATTAATCCTGACTGTAATTTCCTGAGGTTCTCTGTGCTTTGGTTACTTGTTCCACGTTGTTCTTGCTTTATTCTCTGTTGGCAACCTGGGTGTCTAAAAGACAAACTCCTGGCCAGGCTTTTTGCTCCAAATTCTCTGTGGCCCAAATACAGATCAGTCCCATGGGGCTGGTGGTCCTTTACTTCTGCCCTGCTCTGTGTTTGTGGATCTCATCATGGTAGTCAGAAAACATAATTCTGCAAGTGAGCTCTGTTGCACCAAGACCGTGATATTTAAGTCACAAAGCACTGGGAAATGACCCATGTCCCTGTTGTCTTGATGCTTGCTGGGAGGTCACTTCTTGCCTCCAGCTGACCTTTCTTGGTGTGTGTCATCTGCTGGCTACAAAGCCCTGAGCATGCTTATGCTGCTTTTGTGAGATTTCTGCCCATTCTGGGTCCTGTGCTCTGTTCTTGTAATCCTTACCCAGGCTGGTGCTTACTCTGCAGGTTTGGGGTGGTCTCATTGCCCTGGACGTGTGGCATGGTGTAGGCTTCTGCAGGGTCTTGATACAGAAGGTCAGAAGTGGCTGCTCAGCTGTAGCCAGAACATGCTCCCACTCAGTTTAGAAGCAGCTTTATATAGAAAAGGAGCCTTGATTTCATTGTCCTGCCCTCTGCACATGACTGTGCAGCAAAGCTGGGGCTCTGCTGCTGTGCCTTGCTGAGATCCTGCTCTCACTGAGGTTTCTGACCAGGCAGGGGAAGGTGGCTCTTGGTCTGCAGCCCCAAGGCTCCTGCAGGCTGAGGGCAGCGGCGCTCTCCTCCCCGCAGCGTGTGTTCCCCTACATATCTGCCATGGTGAACAACGGCTCCCTGACGTACGACCACAGCAAGGACGGGCGCTGGACGGAGCTGGCGGGGTGCACCGCTGACCTGCGGAACCAGAACCACGACACCTTCCTGGCCATCCGGTACTCCCGCGGTCGCCTGACGGTGAGATGTGGTGGATGCCTTCACGGTGTCTCAGGCGCGGTAGCCGGGCAGTGCTGAGGGGCAGGTGTTGCTCTGTCGGTAGGTGACCTGGAGATGGTTTTCCAGGCTCAACCGCCTGCCTCTCCTGCATGTCCAGCTCCAAAAGAGCTGCAGGCGTGCCAGGTGGTGGCACCCACTCCTGGTGTGACGCTCCCCTGGTCTTGCAGGTGATGACTGATGTGGAAGACAAGAACGAATGGAAGAACTGCATTGACATTGCAGGGGTGCAGCTGCCAACCGGCTACTTCTTTGGTGCTTCTGCTGGCACTGGAGATTTGTCTGGTGAGATGGGGCTTTGCTTGCAGGAACACGTTTGGAGCCTGGCTGGCAGCGCTGTGGGTGCATTGTATGGCTTTGACAGCTTTCTTTCCTCAAATTGTTCACCAGGCTCTTTTGAAGGCCTACTGGGTAGGGACCTGTGGCCTGGGAAGGGAGGTGTTTTGGGCCAAGGGCTGTCTCAAACTGCAGTTTGACACCTGGGGTGTGAGGGGGGCTTGGGAAGGAAGGAGGCCTGGACCTGGTGGAGCATGGTGCTAGGGGTGTTCTGAGTGTGTGGATGTCTCTCAGAGCTCCTGACAGTGCTTGGTGCTGATGGTTGTTTTCTAGACAATCATGACATTATCTCGATGAAGCTATTCCAGCTCATGGTGGAGCACCCCATAGAGGATGAGACCGTTGACTGGACCAAGATAGAGCCTAGTGTCAGCCTCCTTAAATCACCCAAAGGTAAGTGTCTGGGATTCAGAAACCTTCACTGGAGCACATCGGGGCTGGACTCTTGAAGGCATCAGAGCTCTGACACTGTGCAAGACTCCACGGGAGCCAAGGTTGGGTTGGTGTCTCTAGCTGTTCTTACCCTTGCAGACAATGTGGATGACCCAACGGGGAACTTCCGAAGCGGGCCTCTCACAGGCTGGAAGGTGTTCCTGCTCCTGCTCTGTGCGCTGCTGGGCATCATCATCTGCGCTGTGGTGGGAGCTGTGGTCTTCCAGAAACGCCAGGAGCGGAATAAGCGTTTCTACTAGCATCAGAGCTGGGCCGTGACCTGTACCCAGACCCATCTTTTCTATGGGGAGCTGTAAATCTGTGGTTTCTAGAAGCTGTTTCTGAGCTACATCAGAAGTATTTTTTATCTGTCTGTTTGGCTGTAACCCCTGCCTGGCACTTGGCAGCTGCCGGGTTGGACCGAGGGGGACGATGCCCGCTGGGACCCTGGGGCTGTTCTGCGGGAGCCTGGATGGCGCTCCCCGTTTTTCCAGCGCTCCTCCTGCCCGATGAGATCTGCCGGATGGGACCTGCCGTGCTGGGTGTGAATGTGAGGGCTGTGGGAGGGGGCTGCGAGAGGGGCATTAAAGGACTGACACCAGCTGCGGCTCTGGCTTTGTATGGGGTGGGAAAGAGGGGGCCCTGCTGCAGTGGGGTTGAAAGTCTGGGAGGCGTCCATTGGGGTGGTTCCAGCTGGGTGTGGGGTTGACCCGAGGGGTGCTCCCCGGCGGCTCCGGGGGGTGACACGGAGGAAGCGGGGGGTATCCTGCAGGGCTGCGGCGCGGTGCCCGCCGGAGGGGGCGGGTGCGTGTCCCCGCAGGCGCCGGGCGGAAGGGAGCGGGGCGGAACGTCGGAGCCGGGCCGCGTTTCCGGGTGGGAGCGGCGGGTGCAGCCAGCGTGTCCCGCGGCGGCGCCGGGGCCGGGGCCGGGCGAGAGCCATGGGCCCGGCCCGCCGCAGGGCCGCGCTCCGCCTGCGCGGCGGCGGGTGAGCAGAGCGGGGCGGGGACGGGGACGGGGAGCCCCAGGGGTGGGGGGGTCCCGGCGGCCGCTGACATCCGCTCGCGTTGTGACCCAGGCCCCGCTGCTGCCCGGCAGGTTCTCCGTGTTCCCGTTGTTCTGCCTGGCGCTGCTCCTGGGCTTCGCCTCGCTGCTCTGGCTCCAGCTCAGCTGCTCGGGAGAGGGGCCGGCCCCCGGCGCTGGGCAGAGCCGGGGGGCTCCCCTGCAGGCCTGCCCGCCCCAGGCCCCGCTCCCGCCGGTGGAGGATGAGCCGTCGTGGGGTCCCCATCGCCTGGCGCTGCTCGTCCCCTTCCGGGAGCGCTTCGAGGAGCTGCTGACGTTTGTGCCCTACATGCACCGGTTCCTGAGCACCAAGAGGATCCGCCATCACATCTTCATCCTCAACCAGGTGGATCATTTCAGGTAACGTGTCCCCTCGCCACAGCGAGAAAAGGGGGTGAGGGGAACCCCCTTCCAAACCCAGCCCCACCATGAGCACCGAGGTGCCTCCCACTTGCTTCTGGCAGTGTGAAGTGTAGGACCTGGGGAGAGATGCTCTCCCCAGATGTACTCACTCTAGAGCTTACAGAGAATGAACTGGTGTTTTGCTTTTCTCTTCCTGAGCAAGAAGAGAATTATCTACCCCAGACATCAGCTTGTTCCCTAGTGTCACTGTCTATAGCAGTAAATATCTGGGGATGCTGAAAGCAACAGAAACGCCATAGGGTCCTTGGGAGCCCCGCCACGTGGCCCCTGCTCACCACTTGGTACCTGCCTGCAACTGCAGTGGGTGCTGTGGAGCTCCCCAGCTGGCCTTGGGCAGAATGGAGCTTGCTATGGCCCCTTGGGGTGTGCAGTGGTCAAACCTCTGCGTGTCACTGTGAGGCTCAGCGTAAGCTTCAGGACAGGCACCCAGTGCCGCGGAGGCAGGGAGCACTGTATGTGTGTCCTGTTGGGGGACCAGTTGGACATTCAGCATTGAGGAGTACAGGAGAGGGATGTGAAGGGATGGTGGTAGCTGTGCATGCTGCTGAGAGTCTCTGTCTGCGGCAGGTTTAACAGAGCATCCCTGATCAATGTGGGCTTCCTGGAGAGTGGCAACGACACCGACTACATTGCGATGCACGATGTTGATCTTCTGCCCCTCAACGAGCAGCTGGACTACAGCTTCCCGGAGGCAGGACCCTTCCACGTGGCATCCCCGGAGCTGCACCCGCTCTATCACTATAAGACCTATGTGGGTGGCATCCTGCTGCTCACCAAGCAGCACTATGAGATGGTGAGTGCACAAGTGGGACATCACGGCCAGGCTGGGGCAAAAGCTATGATGCTGTCGTGGTGGATGGTCCTACATTGTGTGCTCTACAGTTGGGATGGGGGAAATGAGTCACCGTGTTTGGGGACAGAGCCTGCAGTGTGAGCTGCTTACAGACTAGGGTTGGGAGGCTGCACTGGTGCTCAGAGTTTGGGATGCTGGTGTCTGCTCCACTGTGTTGTGTGGAGTTGTGCTGGACAGGACCTCAGTACCCCTCTCATTCCAGTGCAATGGCATGTCCAACCGCTTCTGGGGCTGGGGACGGGAGGATGATGAGTTCTATCGACGTATCAAAGGAGCTGGTCTCCAGGTGAGTGGTGCTCTGTGCCCTCCTAGGTTGAAACTGCCCTTCTCCTTGTTTCCCCTTCGGGTCCCCAGCTGTAGCTGCTCAGGTAGGGGCCTGGGGAAGCAGCCCTTCAGCGCTTCGCACTCCAGTAGCAGGCACAGCAAGTTTTCTAGCAGCTTTACACAAGCTCTGTTCTCTTCCAGGTTCGCCGTCCCTCTGGAATCACAACTGGGTATGAGACTTTCCAGCACCTGCATGACCCAGCCTGGAGGAAGAGAGACCAGAAGCGTATTGCTGCACAGAAGCAGGTGAGATGTGAGACCTTTGCTCGAGGGGAGCCACAGGAGATGCAGGTTGCGATCACCGTGTGCTCTGAGCTCTCCTTGCTCATGTCCTCCCCTGCTAGCTCTGTGTTTCCTGCCCAGGCTCTGGGTGCTTCCCCCTCTGCTGGAAGCCAGCATGGGGTGAATGGTCTCTGTCTTCCTCAGGAACAGTTTAAGGTGGATCGGAAGGGAGGACTGAACAATGTGAGGTACCAGATCGAGTCACGGACAGCTCTGAGTGTGGCAGGAGCCCCTTGCACCGTCCTTAATGTCTTGTTGGACTGTGACACAAACGAGACCCCTTGGTGCACATCTGGCTGAGCCAGTTGCGTGACTGTGCTTGAGCCGACGTGTCAGGGCTGCTGCCCAGCTGCTGGGACAAAGCAGGGTCTTTGCAGCGGCTGATCGTGGCGGTGCTGGCGAGATGCAGAGGAACAGAAAAGGCCAAGAACCGGGCTTTGCTGGGCCTGACAGAAGAGGCTGAGAGCGGGACTCGGTGGCATTGCTGCGGACACGGGTGCTGCCTCGCAGGGCAGGTGCAGGAGGCTGTTTTTCCTGCTCTGGACATGGCTGAGCTGCCACCCAGCTCAGAGGACAATAAAGAACTATTAGGGCACCTGTGTGTTTTGAGTGCCCTGGGCTGTGCCCTGCTGCTCCTTTTTCCTGCTCCCTTCACCTTACTGGCTTCAGCGCACCCATTTCTGGCTTGGCTCCAGCTATGCTCCAGCTGGACAGGTGAGCTGCTCTGGTTTGCAATCCAACCCAGTCCAAAACGGGCTTCAAGTGAGGTGGTGCCTGTGTTTCAGCTGCCAGGTACCTCCAGGGCTGTGCTGTGGTCACTTCATTGCAGGAAGCGGTTGTGCTCTTCCCTGAGCCCCAGCATCCTCAGCTCTGCTGGATGTCAGTGGTTGAGGTAACCCAGGACTTCAGAGGGGTGAGGAGGAGAGCTCTGGCCAAGCTGTTCCCTTCCTTGCCTGCCTTCTGTGGCATGTGCTGCCTCAGCCTTTCTGGGGGCATTGGAGAACCTGATGTCCCCCCAGAAGTGCTGTGGGAAACTGGATCTGCTCTGGCCCTGTATGAGGTACCCTGGGAAGGGGTCGCTGCCAGGCTCACCGCAGTGCTGGTGGAGCTGGGATGATGGTGTGGGTGAAGGGCAGGACTTGGGACAGTTGCCCCTAACCTGCCTGAGTCAAAGGGAACAAGAGCTTCCCTGGATGAGGCAGGAGCTGGAATGCTCCCTCAGATGTGGGAACAGGGGTTTAGGTTGAGAGAGAGGCAAGGCTGTGTGGGGCCCGGGCTGCAGATCTCACTGCTGCCAGCCTGGTTTCTCCCATGCTGTGGCAGGACAAGGGCCCGGGCTGCCTCTTCCAGCAGGGTTGGGGGGTATTCACCTGCTGAGGGTATCAAATGCTGGTCCCCCACTGCTGGCAGGGCCTGCGAGGGCTCTGCTGTGGGCTCAAGCACCTCACTGTGGATGTGGCTTGCCTGGGCCAGTGAGTGGGTTGGGGAAGGTGCCTAGGGAAAAGGCTGTGTCAGCCCTGGGGTGCTGGTGAGCAGGGGGTGGCTGGGCAGATGCGCCCTGCAAACCCTGGGTCTCTGACCTGCTGCTGCCAGAGCAAGAGCAGCCGTGGGAGGTGGCAGAAGCACTGATGCTGTGTGCTGGGAGAGTGCCCTGGGGCAGGAGACATGAGGAGGAAGTGAAGAAGAGGAGGAGGCGAGTGTCCTCTTGTGGCTGCTGGGAACAAGCTGCAGTGCTGGACCTAGGCAGTGGGAAAGCTGGGAAGGTGCCAGTGGGTGAGGAAGGGCACTGGGTGCTGGCAGTTACTCGAGTTTGGTAGAAATCAGCCACACCAGCACCTTTTGCTGGGAAGTGGGATGTGAAGAGTTGGGAGGGATGGATGTGGGGGCCCACATGCCCTGCTCAGGAGCCAGCTCACAAGTCCCAGGCAGGAGCAGCACCGTGGAGCAGCACGTAGTCCATATCCACTCATGCTGGGACCAAACAGGCGCTGTGACCTCTAGGATGCTTCTGCTCACCCTGACCTGCTGATGGTGGCAGAAATGCCCACCAGCTCTCAAAGGAGGTCCCTGCCAGCACTGGGCTCCTCTCCTCTGTCACCAGCCTGGCCTGGCCGCCTGCTGGGTGAGATGGTGCTGTGCTGCTCAGCAGTGGAGGGTGCTGGGCTGGCTCACAGATGGTGCCATACATTGTCTTTGAGGTCTTGGCATGCGTGTGGGGTTCTGCTGCCTCCTCAAGCTGGGCAGACCCAGCCGAGCAGCCGGTACCCCTCCGTTCAGCCCCGTCTCCAGTGCTGGCACCAGGCCCTCTGCATTTCCTGGCCCCTTCCATCCTGGTCCCCTGCCTGGCACTTCCTGGAGCAGTTGCTTTGCCGGGTGCCTGCAGATGTCCCCAGACAGAAGCTGTTGCCATCCCAGGAAGATGAGCGGCCCCAGGGACGTGGCACCTCCGGTGAGGAGCACTGGGATAAGGGAGGCAAAAGCATCAGAGCCAAGCAAGTGGGGTTTGTGTACTGTGTAGGGGCAGCAGGATGAGAGAGGAGCGTCTGGAGGGATTGTGAGCTGTCTGCTCTCCATGCTGCTCTGGAGCTGGGTGAGGAGTCCATAGCCCTGTGGACTGAGGTGTGAGAGGAAAGGCCTCCTGATGAAAGGATTGAGGCCGTGGTGCACGGTCATAAGGATCAGGCCATGCTGCTTTGCATCATCCAAGGCACAGACAGACCCAGCCTCAGGGGATGTCCTTGCCCCAGGGTGAGGACACGCTGGGGATGCTCTACCAAAGAGCTCCCAACAACAGCCTCTGCAGCCTGGCAGCCCCAGAGGAACAGTGCTATCTGGCATGAGCATTTCAGATGGGCTCGGACACAGCGCGTGGCTCCAGACGTGTCCCCAGGACCCGTCATGTCCCTCAGTGTGGTTGGATGGAGATGCTGGTCCAGTGTCTCCAATGTGCAGGGTTTGGAATTGACCACCTGTATTGCAGGCGCTTACTGGCGCCTGAACTGCAGCCAGGGCTGGCGGAGGCAGATCAAAGTATTTATCTGCACCATTCAAAATAGCTGACACAGTTTCAGGCAGGTTTCATGAAGACATCGATGTGCAGAAACAGAGAACATATGTGCCCCTCGCACTTCGCTCAGCGCTAAAGGCTTCTCTCCCGCTGCCTGGCAGCTATTTCTCAGCTCTGCTCGCAGCCCCCTCATCCTCTGCTTGCTTTTGTGGAAGAGGCACCGTGCTGGAGACCCAGCTTCCTTTTATAGCTCTGAATGTGACTCCGAGGTCGCTCGGCTCTGTTTCACCCCCCCTACGCACTTTGGTATTAGCAATAGCCCAGCAGGAGGGGATGAGGTTTTTCCCCATCGCCTTTGTGCAAGTGGATAGCACCCTGCCTGCTGTCCCTGGAGCCCCACGGCGCTGAGCTGGAGGCCTCCTGGTGCTCCCATGCTCTCAGCAACCCCGAGGTGCGGGTCAGGGTACTCAGGAGCAGAGAGATCCCACAGAGTCCCAGGCCTGCCCCTTTGCGAGCCCCCTTCTGCGGCCCAAATTGCCATCAGTGAGGCTGCAGGGGGGCTACTGCGTTTGGTTGGCTTTTATTGGCAGGTTGCTTGAACCGAGTGGTTCCCAGAGCTGTTTGCTGGCTGCCACATGGACTTGCTGTAGTATCGTGATGTAAAGGGACTGAGGGCTGAAGGGAGCAGGGAGAGTGGGCTAGGGAAAAGCCAATGGGAGGCAGGAACATCTCAGCATCCCTGGCTGTCACAATGTCCCAGGCAGGGATGAGCCTTGGGGCACTGTGGGAGCTGCTAGCACCGGGAGACATGCAGGTGGAATGGAGCCCACAGTGGAGACAGGAAACGGGGCAGACAGGAGGGAGGGAGGGGTGCGACTGTGACCAGCACCCGCTGAAGTCAGCCTCGCATCACCGCAGCCTGCCCGGTCCAAGGCCCCGGTGGGATGCTGTTACACGCCCCTGCAGCATGTCCCTGTTCCCACGGGTTGCTAGGGGTGCCCCATTCATAGCTGAGCTCTGAAGGATGGGAAATACCACCATTGCATTGGGTCCCAGTTCAGAAGCCACGAGCTGCCACTCCGGTGTGCGGCTGGGCAGTGAAAATGGGCTGTGGGGAGCAGGGAGGCCGGGATGCAGGGAGCGGGTGCATGCCTTGGCACTGCACCAAGGATAATGTGAGCGTGTGAGCAGGGCCCGGGCACAGTGTGTGTGTGTGGGTGAGCACTGGCAGCACAGAAAGGACTCTGGTGTGTGGTGGGGGAGCTGGCAGTGCTGGGGCTCTGGTTTATGCCGGATGCATGGGTCCTGTACCCAAACTGGGGACAGAGTGGGTGCAGTCCTTGCCCAGGGAGAGATGGGCACTGTGCGGGGCTGCTGTAGGTGCTCCACTCCTCCAGGAGGCTGCATGCCCAGTGACCAGCTCTGCCCCGTGCAGGGATTCCCTGCTCCCTGTGCCTGGCACGCTGCAGGGGTGCCGAGTGATGAAACCGGCTCCCGGCCAGGATGCGGCAGGGTTGATTTAGAGGGATGAAGCGTGTCGTGTCTCACCGGCACCAGGCCAGGCGCTGGGGCAGGTGGCAGCTCCCCAGAGGTTATTCCATGCCTCCATGGCATGGCACGGCCCGTGGATGGAGCTGTGCAGCACAGGCACCTCTGGTGGACCCTGCCCAGCCCTGGGTGCTGTGTTGGGAGCACAAGGGGCTCTCCTGCAAGGGGAGGATGCAAAGAGTGTCCCACGGGACCCGTCTGCCCCCCGCAGGGACGTGGTGAAGCCATCGAGGGTGGACAAAATTCTTCTCCCCTACCCTGGTGGCCCAGGGGACGGAGAAACCTGCTCCTGCCAGCCGCCCAGCCACGGTGATGGCCACCGGCGACCGGCTGGAGCCGCTGCTGCCGCTCCCGGGGCTGGAACCGAGGGAGTTCGCAGGGGGCTCACCCCAACGGGTGCTCGGAGCTGCCCGCAGCCAGCCCGCCCCGGACACCGCCCTGACCCGCCCCGCCCCACCGGTGGGCACGGCCGGGCCGTCCCCTTTCCTCCTCTTCCTCCTCCCGCCCCTTCCCGCACCGCCGCCGCCGCCGCCCGCCTCCGTGCCGCGATTTGCCGGTGCCGGCTCCGCCCGCTGCCCGCGCGGCCGCGGCCGAGGGGCGCGTTCAAACACGGCGAGGGAAGGAGCGGCGAGAGGAGCCGAGCGGGACCGCAGCGCCGCCGGCATGGTGAGTGCGGGCCCGGGGAGCCCCCCCCACCCGGGGACCCCCGGGGCGCTCCGGTGCTCTCCGCCGTGCGGGGCTTTGTCCCGGACTGCAGCGCGCTCGGCAGGGCCCGGCCCCGGGGCCCGACCTCCCCCTCCGCCTTCTCCGTGCCGGAAATTCCGGCCGTGCTCGGTGCGGGCTGCGGGGAGGTGCAGGGGGGGCTGCGGCGGGGCGGGAGCGGGAACCCCGCAGCCCCCCGGTTCCCAGCCGGAGGCCATGGGAGAAGGTTTGTGGCCGGCTCCTGCACGGGCAGGGCTGGACGGGGGCACGGCTGGGGTTGGGACCGGATCTCATCAGGCACCCCGGGAAGGAGCCGGGCTGGCCGGACCGGTGTTTTGCCGCCTGGGGGGTGATGCCCTTCCCGCCGCAGGCAGGACACCTTCGGGCTCCCCCGGCGTTTCCCAAACCTCCCACAGCCTGACCTACTTCCTCGGCCGCCTGTGCCGGGAGGAGCTGCTGCGGGGCTCGGCCCGTGCCAAGGGCTGGATGCTGTGAGCGTCCCTCCATGGGGACATCCATGTCCCCCATCCCCGTGCTCCGCAGGGAGCCCCGATCCTCCCGGAAGGTCCATCCCTGCTGCCCTTCATGGGGTGCTGATGCCCGGAGCAGGTGCTGGGCTCGCAGAGGGAGGTGACAGCGCAGGCCGGGAGCTGTCAGACAGGTTTGTGCGTGGCAGCAATTAAAAGCGGGGTGTTTGTTTACCCGCGTGTGGTGCTGAGAACCAGGGCAGCTTCCTGGGTGTAACCCGGCCTGCGAGCCCTCGGCGAGCCTGGGAGCCACGGGGTGGAGGGGCTCTGCCTCGCCCCTGCCACACTCACTGTGTCCCCTGCACCGGGGCTGCCCGTAAAGGGCTGCGAGGGCCATTGTCCCCCTCAGAGGGGGGGAGCCGAGGCCGAAGTCATCCATGCATCCTTCCTCCCCCGGCCACCTGCGCAGGAAGCTGCATTGTCCCGTCCTCTTCCTGCCCCTTCCCGCCGCCCTCCCACTGTGTCCGGCCATGGGGTCCCCAGCACGCACGCAGCAGCTGGGCTGAGGCCGTCGTGTCCCCACCCGGTGCTGGGGTGGGAGCGCCTGCGGATGGAGGGGGCCATGGGGAGGGCTTGGGAGCTCGCCCTGTGTGGTGTACGGGAAGTGTCCCTGTGGGGCGGGAGATCTGCGTGTCCCTGCGTGCGCCGGGGAGGCCAGGCTGGGTCTTGGCCCCAGGGTCATTGTGGGGAGGTCTCTGGGGAGTGACCGGGCGCTGAGGTCCCAGTGGGGTGTCTCGGTGCTGCGGGGCTGGGGCTGGCGCCAGGCCCGGGCGAGTGCTGCCGGCTCCCAAACTCGCCTGGGCGGCAGGTGCCTGTTCTGGTGGCGGCCCCGTCCGCAGGCGGGAGGTGGGGCTGGGTGTGGGAGGGAAGCGCTCCAATGTGGGGGGGCATCGGGGGGAGCCCCTGCCCCGGTGTGTGCTGTGCACTGGCACCCGGCTCACCTGGGTCCCCCAGGGCCTGGCAGGACCCTCCCAGCACTGGGTTGGCGCTGGGTGCCAGTTGGGAAGGGCGGCACGAGGGGGGTTGAAGTCCCGGGCTCCTGGCATTGCTGACTTTGTCTCTCCTTCGGCAGTGCTGGTACTGGGCTTTCCTCTAATCCTCCATGGCAGCAGCACAGGGTCCTGTGACCTGTGAGCCCGACACCCGCATCCTCTGCACCTACCTCTCCTCGGAGCCCGTCTGCGTTGTTGGCAGCATGGGAAGCGTGGGCAGCCTGGTGGAGAAGCAGGATCTGTCCCCCCTGGAGCTGCGGGCCCCAATGGGGGGCTCACGGGGGCTTCGTCAGCCTGATGGCTTGCTGCGGAAGGGGCCGAGCCAGCGGGAGCTCTTTGGCTACCTGCATGGGGCCAAGAAGGAGACGCGGTCGGAGCGGAAGCACCAGATGTCGAGCGCCTGCTACAAGCGGGACTACGAGAGTGACCGTGAGAACCGGTCCCCTGAGCGCTGCTCCCGGGAGCACCACCGTGGGGCTGACTTCTCCAAGAGCTCCCTGCCTGAGAGGGGCCGATTCGACAAGGTGAGGCTGTGGGTGCCATGCTGGGCCCCGAAATAAGTCTTGTTCTGTGGGAGGATGGGGCTGCAGCACAATGGTCTGTGCCCTGGATGGGACATGGTGATTTGAGGATGTCCAGGGATATGGGGCTGGGAGCAAGCAGATTCTCCCTGGCTCTGGGTGCCTGTGTGTGCTGGTGGGCTCCTCCTGACCTTGCTCTTGTTTTTCAGTGCCGTATCAGGCCCTCAGCCTTCAAAGCGGTGGCTGGCAAAGGGCTGGTCTCCATGCAGGGCCTGTCCTCATCCAAGGGGCAGAAGCTGTCCAAGAGCAATGGGAGCCTGCACACGCTGCTGTCGCAGAGCAGCACAGCAGCCTCACAGCACGGCCCACTCCGCACCCACCTGCTCCATGCCATCAGCCTGGATGAGGCCTCCGACTCCAGCCACAACTCCATCCAGAGCTTCCCTTCCTATGGCTCCCGCCTCAAGCCTGCCCAGAGCCAGTTCAGCGCCTCCATGGGCCACATAAACCACATCGGGGGCTCCTTGGACAGGGTTTCTCGGAGCCCCAGGGACCCCTTGGTCTCTGAGAAGGTGCCCCTGTCCTGCAAAAGCATGGCCACGCTGAGCCGGCTGCAGAGCCCTGGCGAGCCCCCGCCCCCCTATGAGTTCACCTACTCACTGGAGGATGCGGTGAAGCAACTGGAGGACCGGCTGCAGGAGACAGGAGGAGAGCTGCGGCAGCTCAAGAGGAGCCTTAGCGAGACCGAAGACCCCTTCACGCAGGTGAGCTGTGGGGCTGTGCTGGGTACCCTGGGTGGGGGTTAGGGGCAGCGGTGTCTGGGTGGAAGGGGAGGTGAAGGAGCTGGTGTCCTGCCATGGTGAGTGATGGAATATCCGAGCATGGGAGGACCCAACATCACGGGACCTTCTGGGGCTGCCCTGCACAGAGCAGACTATGGATCCTCACAAGCATCAACCTGTGTTGGCAGGCGTTTGAGGACAAGCAGCGGCTGTGGCTGGACGAGCTGGAGGATCTGAAGCAGATGTACATGGCGCGGCTGCAGCAGGTGACGCAGCAGGCGCAGCGCGGGCAGCGGGCGCTGCAGCTGCAGCTCTACAAGGCGCAGCAGGAGAAGAAGCGGCTGCAGGAGGAGCTGAGCATGCAGCAGTGCCAGTGTGAGGAGTCCAAGCTTCGGCAGGCACAGGGCGAGCGCGTCAGCCCCAAGCTGGAGGAGACCAAGTGGGAGGTGAGTCCCTTTCCTGTTGCACCCTCCTGGTTGTGGGGCTGGAGGGGCACAGTGGTTCAATGTTCTGGTGTCACTCATGGCCATGGAACAGGGACAAGCCAGGTGTGGTGCTCGTGGTCCCCCAGGGATGCTGTGGTGACAACCCAGGGTCCTGCTCCCCCAGCCCTTCCTCACTGCTCCCCTGCGCCCTGTAGGTGTGCCAGAAGGCAGCAGAGATCTCCCTGCTGAAGCAGCAGCTCCGGGACACCCAGGAGGAGATGGCTCAGAAGCTGGGTGAGATCTTCAGCCTCAAGACGCAGCTGCGGGAGGCCAAGGCGGAGGTCCAGGCCAGGGACTCCCAGCTGGCACAACTGGCAGACTCCTTCCAGAGCACTCCAGAGCCCAGCGCCACACTGCCACTGGGTGATGATCCCATGCCGTCGTGCCAGGACTTCCCTGGCTGCGAAACTGATGACTCCAAGTGCCGGGGCCTTCACAGCGACACGACGGAGCCCCTGGAGCGTCAGGTGGAATGGCTGTGGGCAGAGCTGCTGCGGGAGCGGCGCCAGGGCCAGCTGCAGGCTGTGAACTTTGAGCTGGAGAGGAAAACCTGGCAGGAGGAGAAGGAGAAGGTGCTGCGGTACCAGCGGGAACTCCAGGCCAGCTACATGGAGATGTACCACCGGAGCCAGGCGCTGGAGCGGGAGCTGCGGCAGCTGCGGTCGGAGCCCAGGGATCTCGGGGCCGACTCGCCGTGGATCGAGCGTGTGGAGTCCTCAAAGATCTAGTGGTGGGATGCTGGTGGGACTGTGATGGGGGAAGGTCTTGTGCTGCTGCAACGGGACGGTCTCAGGGTCTGCACAAGGACCAGTCGCCCAGCGCTGCCCTGGGGGGAAGGACTGTTCGTGACAAGGGAGCTTTTCCTTCTTGCAGTGCTTCAGGCCCTTCTGGGGGTGTCTCTGGAGATGGGGGGGTCACCTATGCCAGGGTGGGGGTCTTGCATGTGCCCCGTACTCTGGCTCCAGGAGCGTTTGCCCTGTGCTCCCTTCTGCCATAGGGGCAGAAACCAAGCGCCCTGTGAGACATTCCCTGTCTCTCCTGCTCTGTGCCCCCTGTTCCCTACAACCCGTAACTTAATATCTTGCTAATGAGAAGCTCAAGCTGTGTCCCCAGCCCCACTGCCTCGCTGTGAAGGTCCCAGCTGCTGCTCAGTGGTTGCCCTGTCAGCAGGGTCCTGGTGCTGGCAGTGCCCTGTTCCTGCACTGGGCTGTGTTGGTGCCATTAGGAAAGCAGAGGAGAGAAGCCTGAAAGTGCTGGTGCTCAGCTGGTGCTTTCCATGTCACCGGTACTGGGGTACTCTGCAGTGGAGGGTGGTTAATGCGACTTCCCTGCAGGAATCCCTTGAGCTGAGAGGAGTGAGTGCCTTGTGTGAGGAGGGATGGGAACCTGGTGCCCTGACACACCGGGAGATGGGATATGGTTGGGGGGGCATGTGGGCAGTGATGCTCCCCGCGCTGGGGAGCCCCCACAACCCCCCCTCCCAGAGCAGCTGATGGGGAGCTGGAAGGAGCCCTGCTCTGAGCCTGTAACCGTGGAGCCATGGGCCGGCCGGGCCTAGCTCTCCTCGGCCTTTCCTGCAATAAACCCGATTCCATTCTGTCCTGCCCTTGCTTTCCTCGGGTGCGGCGACAGGAACCGATCCGGGGCCTGCAGTGCTCGGGGAGGGTCAGCGGGGCCGCCGCCCTCTGGGGCTGCCAGGCAGCCGCCACAGGGGGAGAGGCGGCGGCCCGGGGCCGGCGGTACCAGTCGGGGCGTCAACCGGGGCTGAGTCAGAGCCGGGCCGGGGCCTGCGCGACCGGCTGGGCCCGGCAGACAGGCTTCGGCCCCCTCCACCGGGATGGTTTAACCCAGCCAGGCCTCCCCCCGCTCCCGCCTGGTAATGGGCTGCACCGCATACCTCAACCGGACGCCCCCTGGCGGCTCGGCGGCCCCCAGCCGTATGCTCCCCCTACCCCGTAACAGAATACTGGGACCGCATTCTACAAACCCCACAAATAATCTTTATTCAACCCCAAAACGCCCACCCCTTCCCCCCCCCAACTCCCGCAGCCGCCTCCCCAAAAAAAGGGGGGGTTCGGAGCTGCACAACGCACCCCGGCTCTTCACAGTGGGAGGGGAAGCCCCTCCACCTCCTGCAGGCACTCATCATAGGTCTCCTGGTACTCCTCATGTGGCTTGATCATGATCACGCAGGTCGGGCGCTTTGAGCCAGCTGCGGCCCCCAGGTCCTGCGGGACAGAGAGAGGTTGTGGGGGGGCTGAGGGGCACCGGGATCCTCCCCAAGGTGAGGCCCAGCCTTTGGCAGACACACTTCACACCCTGGTCCAATGCAAGGAAGAAGTCTCCCAGCCCCTCTGGAGTCCTGCTGGGCCATTTTCCCAGCTCATCTCCTGCATCCCGGAATGTGGCACGGCACTGGACCTGCTGCACACTCCACGCTCCTTCTCCAGCATGGGAGCCAGGGACTGTGGAGCTGCCTGCACTGGGGACAACATCCTAAAGGCTCCAGCATATAGGGGAAGCATGTTACACTACCCCTTCCCAGGAATGCACATCACACCACTGGGCCAGTGCTTGTTCCTGGGAGCAGGCAGGTACCAGCTCGTAACTAAAGGGGAAAACGGGTCCCAGAGCTCCTGTCCCTCACAGCTGCAGGGACACAATCACGGCAAACAGCTCTGTGGTCCCACGTCGGAACACTCCCATCCCCTGGCCATGGACGAGGACCAGCTGCATTACGCGGGCACCAATCTGTGCCTCTCCAGGAAGGCTGCTCCAGGCTGCACAGCCCCAGACCCTTACCGACTTGGAGGGGACGTATGCATAGGGGAGGCTCCTGTCCTCGCACATGATGGGAATGTGGCAGTACACATCGATAGGCTGCGTGTCGCCGGCCAGCACCGTGATCCTGCGGGGAAAACCCGTGTCAACCACCGCGCCGGGAAGAGGCTGAGGCAGGGGGGTCGGGACAGCGCTTACCCCTTCTCCCCCTTGTTGATGAACTTCTGGACCTCCTTTACACCGCGACGGATTTGCTTGTGCTTGGCCGCTGTAAGAGAATCACACCGTGAGGGGGCTGCGCCGCCACTGCCCAGGCCCACCGCTGCCATGCCCCGGTGCCGGCCAGACCTTTCCTGATACACTTGTAGAGCTTGCGCGTCAGCTTGCGGGAGGCGAGCGGCCGTGCGATGGGGTTCAGGAAGTCGAGCTGCTCCCGATACGAGAGCTCGGGCGTCCCCTCGGCCTCCGTCGCCCCCTCCGCCTCCTTCTCCCGCGCCATTGCCGCGCCGCCGAGAGCTTCCGCTTCCGGTGCACGCACGGCACGGCAGGCGAGAGTGACAGCTTCACACCTCTCCGCCAGCCAATCGGCAGCCCCTCAAGCACTGCCCGCCCACCGCGCCAGCCAATGGCGAGCGGCCCTTTCCCAGCCCCGCGGCCGCCTCGCCGGGCTTCCCCCGCTCCCCCTGCCCAGCTGTCGGAGACGCGTTTTCTACACGGGCCTTTACTGGGCTCCGGTGCGCGGGGCGGCAGCGCCCAGCCCCAGCCCCAGCCCCAGCCCCAACCCCAGCCCCGCCCAGCCCCAAACGCTCAGGGAAAGCAGCGGAACGGAGCAGTCCCTATGCGCCCTGGGTGCGCACTGCAGAGGGCTGCGCCTGCCGCATCCCAGCTCGTCACAAAGAGGATTTTCTCCCCTCCCTTCTTTTTGTCATCCCAGGGAATCTATTTCCCACTGCAGGGCTGCGCTGCTGCTTTTACCAGGGGAGAAAGGAGGCCCCTTCCGTGCCCCATTTTGTTCTTCTTCCCATCAACCTGGAACAAAGGGGCATAAATCACCCCTGGGGTGTAACTATGCTGCAGTGTCAGCACAGCCCCTAAGCACCAGCAGACCCCCTGAGCAACAGGGACAACACTGCTTCAAAACAAACAGGGCTTGGACATGGCTTGTTACCTTTTCCCCCACCCCAGCCTGTCCTTTGAGCACAGGAGGGCTTCGCCCAACATCTGCAGCTGCTCCAGCACCTCTCGCTGCATCACTATGGCCATGTGGTGCACATGGTGGTTGAAGCTGTTGTACATCACTGCGTTCTGGAACATGAGCATGATGTCGCGCTGGAACTGGACCATGGACTGAATCTGTCCCTTTGACAGTCTTCTCTTTATGCTGGTTAAATCCATGGGTCTACAAGACAGAAGGAGAATTAAACTGCAGCCCAGGGCCAGGCATTAAGGCTCTGCATGAAAGTGCTTGTCCTCGTTTCAGCATGGCCGTGAAAGCACAGCTATTTGCTATTGATTTTATTGCTCAGGACAAAGAGGGGGAAGTCAGAGATGCTTTTCAGACAAAAGTAAGTTTAGCCAATCTGACACTTGCTGTCCAGTCAACTTGGCAGGTTATTAGCAGTCACCTCTAAAAAACCCCTGATGCTGAGCTCCAGAGAAGGCAAGCAGAGCAATTCTAATTAGTCTTCATGAAGCCTAGGTTTTAGTCCAGGAGAAAGCAAAGTTACTAAAATAAGTATCTATTAAAACCCCTTAAAATTGAATGGTGCCGCTAGCAAAAATAGCAGTGCTGATAAGGGGATCATGATGGAGAATAAATATTACTTCTCTTATTTTGACAGAATGAGAAAATGAATGGCTGCAGAGAGGACAACTGTGACTAAAATAGAATGTAACTGAGCTCTGAAAAACGTCCTTAGTCTCTCTGGGAAATATTCTTGTGACCCAATTCTCCACTCACAGTAAACACCTGGGGAGCAAGCTGTAGATGAGGAGAGTATCTATTGAGGCACATGTTTCCAGCATGGGGAGGAGAGCCTGCTGAGCTGCAGAAGCTGGATCCCCTGCTTAGGCAGGGCTCACAGCTGCATGGGTTGTGCCTGCAGTAAGTCAGCAAAGGGCAGGCAGAGCTCCTTTCAGCACCAGAGTCAGTGCAAGCTTCCAGGTTCTAATCACCCAGAAGGGAGTTTTAATAAAAGAAAGCAGTGGGAGATGCTGGTGACAGCTGAAGTCTGGAAAAGGAGGAAGGAAGCCACTGGCCCTCTGGAAACCAGAGAAGACCAAAAGACAGAGAGAGAAATCAACTAGTGAGCACTTCCTCCACAAACTCACCTCTTTACCACATCCCTGTATCCAGGGGCTTGTTTCTCTGACACGGCCTTCAGGAATGGGCTGCTGTACCTACAGCGACAAGCACAAAGAATGATGTGTCTGCTTCTCCACCAAAGACAGTATTGCCACATGGGCCAGTGCTTGCTTCTCCCTGCTTGCCATGAGAATCACAGAATAGTTAGGGTTGGAAAGGACCTTAAGATCATCCAGTTCCACCCCCCCTGCCATGGGCAGGGGCACCTCGCTCTAAACCATGTCACCCAAGGCTCTGTCCAACCTTGAACACCACCAGGGATGGAGCATTCACAACTTCCTTGGGTAACCCATTCCAGTGCCTCACCACCCTCAACTCTGTTCTCGTGAGACCTCACTTGGAGTATTGTGTACATTTCTGGTGTCCTCGACATAAAAAGGACATGGAACTGTTGGAACAAATGCAGAGGAGGGCCATGAGGATGATCAGGGGACTGGAGCACCTCCTGTATAAAGACAGGCTGAGAAAGTTGGGGCTGTTCAGCCTGGAGAAGAGAAGGCTGCGTGGAGACCTCATAGCAGCCTTCCAGTATCTGAAGGGGGCCTATAGGGATGCTGGGGAGGGACTCTTCATTAGGGACTGTAGTGACAGGACAATGGGTAACGGGTTAAAACTTAACGAGAGGAAGTTTAGATTGAATATAAGGAGGAAGTTGTTTACTGAGGGCTACAGCCAGCATCTGGTGGCTGGCAGGACACAACAAGGCAGGAGGCTGAGATCCTTGCTGAAGCTGGCTGTGCCAGCTGTGTAGGAAGCAACATTTGGGCTCTACCATGTGAAGCAGAGGAAATAAATATGCAGTGTTTTCTCCAGCTTTGCTGCACACAGCTGTTCTTTCTGTGAGGACAGGCAGAAGCAAAGCCACTGAAAGACAAGGCAGCCTGCGGTGGCTGCTGTGGAGGGGAGGACAAGGCTTGGTGACACAGGAGCCAGAACTCAGGGCAATGTGTTCAGGGGCCATGTCAATCCAACCCTTTGCCCCCACGTACCTGTGACTGGCTATCATCTTCCAGATGGACATGAGCGTTCTTTTGAAGTGCAGATGCTGCAAGGGGTTCTCCCAGCTCAGCTGCACCCTGGGAAGGGAATGCATTGCCAGATCATCACACTGGAGACAAAGTAGGAGGCAGCAGTTCGCTAGCACCCACCACATTCAGGTGGAGGAACTGCAGAGATCCTTTGCTGTAGCTGTGCAGAGCCTCCCAGGATGACATGGTGTAAGCCATTTGAGATGGTGGATAACCATTTAGTTGTTCATTCTGCATCTGAATGCACAACTAAACATCCCGAATTCAGGAAAATGCAGAGTAGAAACCAGAGCTGAGCTGAGCAGCTTTAAAGGGCAGGATCAAGTTCGATAGAAAAGCTCACACTATTCTGAAGTTCAGAACTTTACTGAGGAGTTTTTTATTTAGTTTCTCATGCCCCCCAAAACACGGTTTTCCAGTTCAGGTGATCACACACATGTCAGAGCCTGCATGTGACTGACACACCTGCACCTGCCTAAAAGTCATGTTGTCTTAGAAGCTGGACTTGACATTGCTTGACAAAGCACGATGCTCAGATCACACAAGGCTCAGCTCCCTTGATGAATTTTCCTTGTATTTTCCATTTAATCTCTTACTTAATCTTCTCACTTCATCTTAGGATCAATGCCCCAGAATGCTGGCAGATCCACAGTGACAGCACAAGTTACCTCCTTCCCTCCTGTTCTCCTTGGCTCTCTCACCTTCCTGGATGTGACCTGTGTCATACATTTGTTCTCATGTAAGACAAAGGAAACAACTCTGTTCTGCTGCACCTGCAAGAGAGCAGAACAAACTACTTACAGCTGCGTGTGAGCAGGGCTAGTGGAGTCCAGCACAGGGGCTGCAGAGGTGTTATCACTATCATCTTCATCCTGGGCCTGGTCACTCATCTCCTGTGGATGTGGCTCACCCAAAACTTGTTCTCCAGAGGTCTCTCGAGTCTTGTCCTGAAGAGCACAGAGGAAAAAGATAAATCTAAAATGGCAGCACATCACCTGAATCCTTTATCTAGAAGCCAGCCTCCTGCTTATCCCTTACTGCATCCAGTCTCAGCTGGGAGCTAGCCTGCCCTCTTCTACTGGAGGATGATGTTTGACCTTATTCACTGTGCTGTCAAGCATTCCAGTGACAGCTCACCTCTTGGATCATAACCAGCTCTGGCAAACACAAACACCGTGGGGCTGACTGGTGCCCAGTGTTGTGTCTGTCTGCTTTTCTGGGAAGAGTCATGGATGCAGAGAGGGCAATGAGGAGCTGAGGTAAGATTGCCTTGGGCTCAAGACAGAGGTACCAGGAAATCTTACAGTGCAACAGGATTGTTTCCTTACAAACTCCCACATGCATATGACAGAACAGACTCAGCCAGGAAGGAGAGTGATGTTGTAGTGATTTGCCAATAAAATATAGAGAGTGCAGAGGCTTTTTGGAGTCCTGAAGTGTGATTATGTGCAGGGGCACCTGAGAATCCTCAACAGATCTGAAGCAGAGAGCAGACTCCTCAGGAACAAAGTGGACACTGTGCTGTGGTTGGCTTTCAACACTGGGAAACCTGTGAGGGAACTGCTGGGAATAACAGCAACACCTCGCAGGCTGGTGGGAGCCCACAGCCCCCTAGACACAGAACTGATGGAAACCCAGGCTAGACAGTGCCTGCTTCCAAGACATGATGGTCTCCAGGGGCAGATGGTTATTGCTATCACAGCCACATGGGCCTGAAACCAGCCAAGCTGTGTGCTGCATAACACAGCAATTAGAACAAGGCAAGTATTCCAGTCTTGCATCAAACCTGAGAGCTGACTGCCAGCTCTCATGAGTCACCTTTACACTGCCAAGGAGCAGTTCCTCCAACTCACATCTGAGGGTTTGATTTGCAACAAGCTTCCTGTTCATAAAGATACATATCCATACCTAAAAACCACATCCTTCCCCTCATATATTTCTTTTGCATTCCCCTCCCTGCTGACTCCTCCTGTGTGTCCCTGTCTCCCCACTTGGAACCTGGGACTTCCCCATCTCTTCTACAGCTGATTTCCTTTACTATCTCTTGACTCTCATCCAGGCCCAGAGGCTCTCTTAGGATCACCTCACCCCTACCTCTCTTCCTGGGAAGCGTT